GGTAAATACAACTTAATGCCTCATGCAAAACAAGCCTGACGAGTCATCCTAGTGATGTCCTGCTGTAATATATAGAAATCCTACATCTGAGGACGTCATATTCAATTTGAAACATTTTAAGGTCTACAGGTTGGAAGGAATGAAATACATGTTTCAGATTTTGCAAAGGAAAACATAAGTGAAGAATGGTAAAAATAAAATATGGAATGGACAAAGGGTCTCAAGCAATTATTAATATGCTGCCTGGAAACTGTAAGTAAATGAGTTGTCTAATGCCTTGTGAATGAAGCAGAAAAATATTGGTCTAGAAGCAATGCAAAGTTTTTAGGTGTAACGTAAATGTGGAAAAATCATCAGTTTTCAATTAAGAAGTCTCTTATTATGATTCATTATGACTGCATTTCAGGTCTTTTTGAATTGCTTTTGAATTCTTAATTTTACTAGGTTTCCCCTTAACATAGAGCTACTCTAAAAGTCTATTTGCTCTTTTTATTTCTCGATGTAGGTGCAAGTGACTGCACTTTGACTTGCACGCATAACTTATTTATTATAACTCTGATTAAATATTTAATGCTATGGATAGGTTATGGAAATTGTTACGAATTGCTGACAGCGTTGGGTGTTAACAGTCACTTGTCATCTAGGACAGATGTAAAGAACCATTAAATTCCTTTATGCAATTAGGCAGCTGAAGCAATAACTATTGGACAATTCTGACACAAGATACTGTCCTTCTTCCCATCCCCCTACACCATAGTTTTGGGAGGTAGCTAGGCCTAAAGATGTGGACAAGTTCAATTACTGTTTGGGGAGAATTAGTAAATTATTTCAGAGGACAAAGCAGAAATATGAAACATAGTAAGCAAGTACAAAACTGTCTCAAAAGGTATAGCAGCATGTCTCTGAAAAATTGTGATGGATATAGGAGGCCATAAACAAGGAATATTCTCTTTTCTGAATATTCTCTAAGTCAGGAATGTAGAATCTGGGAAGTTTCTTACACATACATTGTAAGAATTTTATCAGTGATATCTGATCCTAATTTTTTTTTTTGCTATTAACACTAATACACAAAGACCAAACTTTGGAAAACACTTCAAGTAGTCTGAGTTACACTATTTTTCTATTTCATTAGCCATTGTCCTTCTTGGGGGAGGGTCACCCTATTTTCCACTGACAAAACTGTTTAACAATTGGTTCTGTAAAATGTTACATACAGTTAAAAAATTAGGCATGGTGTTGTTACTTACCATGTGTCTGAAAGGAATAATGTCTCACAGACATGGAGTGAACCAGATGGTACAACAAAGGAAATTGGGAGTCATTAAATTGCAGAGAAGGAAAAAGATGTTGTGGAAGAAAATTAAAGAGCTAAAAGGCACATATGCCATGTAGAGCCAAAAAAAAATAAATAAAAAAAAAAAAAAGAAGCAGGGAAAATACTTTTGTATTTCCCTGTGAACAATTAAAGGCAGAAAGAGTGAAAAAAATTTTAAGATTTAATTTTGTTTTTTTGTTTAGGGGATTTTTTTGCTTTGTTTTGTGGACAGTTTTGCTAAGAGTTTTCTGAGAGTCAGTATCCGTTCAGATAAGAGGATCTTAAAAACTCTTCCTGTGAGCCATTTTGTTTCATTATTTTATTCTCAAAGAAGGAGTTGCTTATTTTCTCCTCCTTTGAAGAGGAAAAAGACGATCAACTACCAGATTTAAAAAATAAAAGAGAAAGTCTTTGAACTAAAATTAACTATGGTATTTCAAGATACTATTATTAAGTTGCAATCTTCTGTACCATCAAAGAAAAGAGTCAGTATAAACCCAGTATCACTTATTAGTTCTTAAGATTATCTGTAAATGTAAAGCGGGCATAAATCAGTACAGGTTATGAGCTGCTGCAAAGCTATGTTGATATACACTTGTCCCGCTCTCACCAACTGTTAAAATCTAGAAGTTATTTACTAAGATGGGTGGGTACAGCGTATAGAGAGCAACCTCTACTCCAAAACTTCTGCTCTAGGACACTCAGACACTTGACACTTGTACAAATTGGCACCACTCAGCCTGGGAACAAGGCACTCACCAAAACCTGTCACCACATCAGGTCCTGGATGGGAATTTGGCCCCTGCACATAGCAGCTCCACCTCCTCCACTCTTTCCGGGGAGGGCTACAGCTCCTTATAACTTAATTTGTCTATTGTTATTTTGTTTTTCTAGCTCCTATCAGATTATCTAGTAATTTAGAGCTGAGCAGATGTGATCATGGCCTCAGTTATTTAAGAGGTGCTTTTGGGTAGGCTTTACCCTACACCATCTCACTGTCCACAGATGATCAACAAAGCCAGTGAAGGAGGTATATAAAAGACATGTAGACGTGGTGTATAGGGACATGGCTTCATCATGGAGTTGGGAGTGTTAGGTTTACGGTTGGACTTGATCTTAAATGTCTTTTCAAACCTAAATGATTCTATGATTCTAAGAAATTGATAGACTCAACCGGTAACACATTAGACTCACTTCTATCTACATAATACACTTTTACTCAGGCAATTACGTCCAAATTTGGATAGTCCTAAAATTTAAGACTGTATTTCAAATCAAGCTTTAGGAAAGACACATGGGAAATAAAATATCCAAACAGCTAGCAATAGATACCTGAAAGCAAAAACCTCCTCCTTTATGTGGTAGAATGGAGTTTTTGTCCGAAGGATTCTAAAAATTCCATTCTCAAAAGAGGGCCTTATTCTGCAAGTATTAAATTAGGACCTTAGAAATTAAAAAAAAAAAAAAATCCTAAACAAAATATTCTTTCTGAAAGAAAAGCAAGTATCGAATTTAAGAAAAAAAATTTTCCATGGCTTTTTTTTTTACTATTTGTAATGTACTGAAACGTAAAAAGTATTTTGCAAAATCATTTCAGTGTCAGTGATGTTTTAACACTTCCTTTATCTTTTCTGCATGTATCACATTGATTTTTCTCAGTCTTAATCTTCCCCTCATTTCATAAGAAGCTTTTTCATTCCAGAGGCTTGCGTATAGAACAAATTGTCTGGGATTTCCAAGTTCCCACTTACTTTTCCTGTCAGATAGGCAACTAAGTTCTATGATTTCCTGAACTTCTGGACTATCTCTTGGAGCACCAAGCAGGATGGCCAGCATAGTATCAGGAAATTTGAGTGTCCTGACCATTTGTGGATTATCTTGACCTAACTCTTTCCATTTCAGGCTCCCATTGCTGAGCACTGGTAGTGAATCTCATCAACACTTGACAATTTGATCATAACTGTAAAGCAAATGGTAGTTGTCAGACTTGTTTTAACTGAAGTCTCTGAAATAGAGACTTACATCTCTTACAGATGATACATATTTTCCCCTATTTTTCTGACAAGACATAGATCTGAAATTTTTCAAGTCATCCCAACAAAGTGGAATTTCGATCACAAATTTTAAGTAGGGTATAGCATAAAAATGCTCATGTTTAATTCACTTTTCCATATAAATAATATCAAATTACATTTGCTTTGCCTTGACTTTTCTATTCATCTGCAGCTAGAACTCCATTAGAAAGCCCGTTCCTGAAGGAAAATAAATAAAGCTTAAAGATAGTAATTCTAATAAATTCAGAGTTCTCATAAAATTGGCTTCCCAAATAACGGCAACAATATTTTGTGTTACCTCTGCTTATGTGGATCATTGAAAAATTCTGTAGATATATAGGGGCTTAGTGATTTCCTTTTATATGTAGAGTTTGAACAACACGATTACAGTACCTGAACTTTGATTGCAAAGTGGTTTCAAACTATATGGGAATATTGTAGTTCAGAACTCATATATGACAACCCCTCCCCTCCACGCCCAACAAGAGCAGGAAAAGTATTAAGAGGGTATAGTTTCTGTACCAGGCAGGAAGATGACACATTTTGGAGGGTGAGAAAGTTACAAATGCAATCAATAATCTTCAACAGCCAAATCTGTAATTTAACATCATAAATGCTGATGATGTAGATTACCATAGTATTATACTAAGATGTTCAAGCTATTAATAGGAATACCAATCCAGAGAAGCTGATAAATACCTGCCCCCTCTGAAACATGATCTTATTGACAAGGATGGAGAAGGTTATGCAAATGATTAAATATGTAAATAAATAGATTTAATAAACAACATAGTTAAAGCTAAGACAGAAGTGTTGAATGAATATTCAGAAATGCTGAGCAATGAATGTGAAGTTGGAATATATTACCCAGTAAGAAGTAAAAAAGGATCTGGAAGTTGCACATGCTCACCTGCAACTCTGAAATTACTGAGAAAAGTGTATCTTGGCACTGTAGGACACATTTTCATTGTTAATTTTACCACATCCTGACAAAGACTAAGGCCTGCTGCCAATTCTACTATCCATCCATGCTGTAAAGTTCTGCCTCCCAATGACATTTCCCAACTTCAGATACACTTAGAAAATACAAATTCACTTTTATAATGTGTCCAGAGATAGTGACAGGAGGAGGGCTGCAGCTGTAGGAGCTTTTGTGTTGCTCCATGTGCTCTGAAAAGAGTGGCCCAGTCCACTGCTATCCTATAAATGCTTATCCCCAAGTTGTTTGGTTGGATGACAGACACAAGCACATGAAATTGGGAAATTAACCTGAAGCAAACAATCACCAAAGTGATCCAGTATCCTTCAGAGCACCGTGAAAGCCCATATGGTGTGGATAAAACTTGACTAAGCTAATTCTTTAAACACTGATCAAACACATTACAAACTGCTGCCTCTTTTACTTTGTGTGCTGCCTTTTAAAATTTAGCAATGGATTTGTTCCTGGGCCAGTCCATAATTCATAACAAGGTAACTTAATATGGATAGGAATGTCTAAAATATTTAGAGATGCTTACATTATGAAAAAAGCTAACAAATAACCGTCCTTTCTGTGCTTTTAGAAGTTTTCAATGATCTAAGGTTCTAACTACCTCTCAGTGATACATTTTAACATAGGGTGACCTTACCGCTCATCCACAGGGAACTCTGTGGCCCTGTATGATAACAGTAAAAAGATTGCAGGATCACAATTCTATACAAGAACAGTTCTTCATAGATGTGAAATTATTAACTGATGGTCAGAAGATCCACACTGGAAGTGCTTGCACGTGCAGTCGGTCCCATCTTCAACACAATTTCTTCTCATATTTTATCTGATCCAATACTTTGCACAGTCTGAAAAGTATCAAATAGCAGAAGAAACATTCCTGAGATTAATTCATACAAGTTAAAGCAACATTCAGAAAAAAAGAATCATCAATTAGTAATAATTTAGTGGGAAGCTACAGTCTGTTATATAAGAGGAGAAAGCAGCTAACTACACTGAATAAATCATTCTATGAAAATTATTCACGAAAGTCTAGCACAAACAGTAAATTTTACAAGTCTGCAAAATCGAAATAGTAGCTTGTGCTTCTTTCACAGCTACTCCTTGCATATAACAAAACTTGCTGATCTGTCAAATTCTTTCTGCAAAAATGACAGTCTGAAGGGCTTGTCATGTACAGCATAGTCTTTCAGATAATTCAACTGCACTGTTCCATTTTTTTTTCCACCGATTTAAATGAGGGAGGAATCAAGTGCACAGTCATCACTGTGCTTATGACAGTGCTTTGCTGGGTCAGAAAGTATAAAGTGTCTGCAGGTATTCTCTTTAATTATGAATTGATGTGCCGTAAGTAAAATCACACCAATTGGCATTAGCTAACACACAGAGCTGCAAATTATTTTAGGCTGTGTTATAGTAGCAAATGCTCATGTACCATCCAGAAAACTGTTCTGCTGTCACCAGCAAAATAAATATTATTTTGGTAAAACCAGGTAAGTAGTTTTGCCTAACCAGAGCAAAAAAAGAGAAGGTAAAGAATGGAAACCAGTGGCACATTTTCTTCTAATATTTTAACAAACAGTTGTATTCAATCAAATGGAAAACATTATCTCAAAAAAGCAGACAATAGCATTCCTTAGATTGCTTGCCTCTGCCTAGAAGCAGTGTGAAAGTTATAAAAAGTAATTTGTATCAACTCATTACTATGTCACCTCATTTCAAGCCCATGTTAGATAAGCAGCAATAAGCTCTGGGTTAGAGGATTCCACATTATAACCATTAGTACGAACTCTAATGGCACCCAGCTGTTGAAGATTACCCTAGACAGTTATTGAGATTTAGGAGGGGCAGCTTTCTACTGATTTAGGACAGATTCTGTAGACAATTTTATCATTTATTCTAGAACTGAGGTAAAAAGCTAATTTCATGAAGAGCATTTGTGAATTATTTCCTTCCTATAGGTACCATAATGCTCCCAGTAGAATGCTTTTCTTGCTCTTTAATTCAAGGTAATGATGTTCCCGCATCTTCTGTTGGCACTTAAAACACAGTTTAATGCCACACCATCAGTCAAAACCTCTGTGTGATTTCCAAAGGCATTAAATTATCTGAAAAACTGAGCTGAAAAATGAATAGCTGTGATGTATTAGAACTTTTTTGGGCTTTTTTAGGGACTTCCCGCTCCCCCCTCAGGATTGTGGAATGAAGAATAATTTTTTACCATGTGAGAAAATCAGCACAAAACGTCTGGTCTGAGTTTCATAGGAGGTATGTGTATTTTATTGTGCTCCTCTATAGTGACTTACATGGCATAATTCTTACAGGTGTCTCTGACATCTGCTTTTTACTTATATGTAATCAGTGACTGACAAAATGGTTTATGTATTAATTTATTTACACCCTTCTGCAATGAAGTATCTGGTGTAAAAAAACTAATCTACTGTATATTCTTTTTTTTTTTTTTTTTTCCTGTAGATCAAATCTGACAGTTCTAAATCAGCTTTTTTCCCCTTTTTCTTAGAATGAATGGGTATTGGTAATAGTATTTCTTGGATCTGCAGGGGCAGATCAAACTGAATACTCACGTTCATTTAATTATAGCTCACCTTAAAATAATGACTGAAGTACCTGTAGAGATTAATACAGGTGTTTAGAGCTTTTTCTAAGTGTTAAAGAATGAACAGGTTTTTATCAAACCCTTTGTTTTCATATTTATTCACATAGATACTAGGCAAAACCCCCAAAAGTGTTGTTTTTCTTTTTTAAACTGAAGACCTTATGCAATATAGAACTGATACATTTTTTTAATGTAAGGAGAACAATTACTTTAAGTTTTCCAGTATTTTCAAAATTTCAACAGCCAGTTTATCTATTTACTAGAGAATACACTTTAGCTAACACTTCACTATATATCTTTATCTTATACTGTATTACATAAAGCTCTAATAACAGCATCAAATGTAACTCCATGCTTTGAACAGATAGTAAAGGGATATAATAGGTACTAATCATTATGATTTCATGTTTATATCACTAATAAAGGTTTAATTTATGCCAAAATTTAAAGGATTCTTAATGCCGAAGATAGATTTAATGTAGAACCTTTGCCTTTGGGTCAAAACCCAAAGAAAGAGCAATACAGAATTACAGTGCCCAAGTAGTAACACAGGAAAACACCATGAGATAATATATGTGCTCTGAGGAGAAGGCAGTCACTTGTAATGTTCATTAAAGACTTCCCAGGTCAGCAGGCTGAGCATATGAAGGACAAAGAGGAATTATAGGTTTCACTGTCCCTTCCTGGCAAGCACATGGTGTTATTCACCATGTTTAGATGTGTCAGAAGGAGCAGACAACTCCACAGTAGTTCACCAGTCATAAAAAATTTCTAATTTTTCTACTAACCTGTGTATTTGTACCAATATAAAATAATCTTTAGACCATCATTAAACATCCAGATTTATCGTTTTGTACTTATTTCTGAGCAGAAAGCTGGAGGACTTAATGACTCACCTTTTTCAAAGCATTTGTTCCTGTCATAGACAAGCTTTTGGCTGAAGGAGGGGAGGTGGTGGAGAGAGTTGTTTGGATGGTGTTTGTTTGTTTCCAGCTAAAGAATATTTGCTTGTGACATAGTACATTGTTAGAATTTGCTGTGTTTATCAGGAACACACAGCCTAGTCAAATGAGTTTTCAGTTTGAAGAATGCTGGTGTGCAAATTCAGAGGAGCACAGACACTTATCAAGGCTGCTCTTTTGTTCACGGAGGATGTTAACAATGATGGTTCAGAGTTTACTGATAAACCCACTCAACATGCTAAGTTACAGGGCAACATTGTGCACTTAACAAAACAGCAGATGTTAGGAAAAGAGTATGTTTGTACTCTGCAGAAATAGCTCACGGTCTTAAAATATTGGCAAAAATGTCACAAATGCTGGTAATTTCTGAATACTATCTTATTTAATCTTAAAACTTAATTTTAAAAATGTTTTAACAATAAAAAGAAATACACAGAGTCCCCAGAAAAAAGAAAAGTTGGAGAAGAGCACAGTCCAACCATAGTACTTGTCTGGTTTTAAGTGCGCACTGGGAACCAGAGCGACTACATGTGAGGTGCTTTACACAGGCTGTGTAAAGATTACCCTGCTTCCTGCTCTGTTCAGATGCCTGCTCTGCTAAGGTTATGGTGACAAGATTACATGACAGCAAATTGTTTTCTACCATACAATAAAGCTGACTAACTAAAGGCATAAATGAAGAAACCATAGGATAGATATATTTACTGTCATTTTTCACACTTTTGTGGTTTCCATTTCTCATGTTTTCTTTCTTCAAAAGTGATTATTCTTGGAAAGTTCATACTCAAGTGAAAATGTATTTTAACAACATTGGCACATTCTAAATCACTTGCAATCAAGAAGTTCATCTGAAAGGAGCAATATTTAAACAACGACAGAACACACAGATAGGGGCTATTCAGCCTTAGTAGCTGAGAAATGGATTTGTTCCTATGAATAATTCTTTCTTCATCTGTGAGACACTGTAGCATTTCTCTTAGCAGTCTTAATTAAAATGTAAATTTTACAATATAAAAAGATAGTAAGAATTGTACCTGGGAAGAAATCAGTGGCTTATTTAAATACACGCTGGCATATACGCACATACAGCTACAACTCTAAAAGAGCGAATGAAAGCTGACAGGTTTACAACATCAAGAGGAGAGAGAACTGTATCTTGTTTTCATGGTTGCCCCAAAATGCATGCTTATTACTGTGGGGTTTTCAGAGTCTTTTCTATTCCCTGTCCCTTCCAGGCAAAGAGATAATGCTTGAGGAGTGGATGGAGTCCTGTTCCTGCTCTCCTCCTACTTCGCTACATTAGCCAGCATAACTGGCTACATATATAAAGAGTGGTGAAGGGAGACTGAGGAAACCCTGCACCCTGTACCTGCAGCAGCTTTAAGAGGTAAACGGCTATCAACGCAGTGAAGTCAACAGATGCCAGCAAAGTGGTCTTTCACATCATTTCCCCTTAATCAAATATGTATCTTCTTATAGCCCTAAAAGAGTAAGTCCTAATCCAAAACTCATTTCAGCTTTTGCTTCAGTAATAGATAGGGTATAGATATACTGATGCAAATTATTTTAAGAACATATGAAAAATATGTGGCTCCTCTGAAAAATTTTATAAGAACACGAGAGTTATTTTATACATGGAGCTTGTGTCTGTGTGGCGCTGCTCACTTTTTCCGTGAAAGATTAGAGGGAAAATAATGAAATAAAAAGTAAAAACAATACATTGAATATATATTTATATATTCCTCTTAGATCTGTAGATCTATTAAGAAGTGATATGTAGACTTTTACACAGTAAAGAGATCTGACAGACAACCAATGGCAAAAGGGGACACACAAACCACCAATAATAGAGGGACAGGTTCCAGCTTCTGTCAAGCAAAAAGACTCATTCCACTAGAAAAACTGGGTAATAAAATTCACTACACTCAAGAGTGCACTTCCATTAGTTATTGCATTGAAAGGGTTAAGAAGCTGATGGCAATTAGCCTTATTGTATATAATTTTCCTGTTTCATCTTCTTGCTGAAGACTGTCTTTTGCTGAACAAGTTTTAAATGAGTGAGTTAACATGATTGCTCATTTCTGTGTAAATCACGTTTACAACTTTCTAAGTGTGACCCTTAGTAGCATAATCAAAAATATGGTTTGTAAGCAATTCATGCATCTTAAAGGATAAACACCTCAAATTTTGCCTCATCAGCGATCTCTGTGTTCCTAAGCTAAAAACATTAAGCAAAGGTAATAGTTGATAGAAATTTTAGAGTGCACCA